GTGAGCCAATTTAAAATCGTTAGTTTCGTATTGATTGTTGGTGATACTTCGTACCTGCACGCAAGTGTGAACATTGAGGCTTGCTACACGCTAACTTCGCCTTACTCACCGGGTGAGTCGATCGTACTCACTTTCGTCCGATGTATCGAGTTGTCAAAAACTGAGTAAACGAGAAATGCCAAACTGAGTGAAAGTTAGTCAGTCAACAAAATCCTGGACTTAGAAAAAATGTCAACCATGTTGGAGGAAACGTTTTAAAAAATGGGTGAATGTTTCACTCAACACCGACGGAAATTCCTTCAGGTAAGTAGGAATTGCTTTGGACGATGGTGTTGAACACTTTTCTGCTCCGGTAGAATGAATCCGGAGCAGACAATTTTCATTTCCTGGAATAAAATCAAAACAAAAACCCCTCCGCAACTGAAAATATCGCTGAGTGGATTCGAATCAGTCTACGTGAGAACGTCGTTTACTCAAAAGTGAGTCAAGCGTATTTTGCATGCGCACTAGCACCATCTATCATCCACATTCCCAAGCATTGTTTTGCAACCGGAGCATCCCTCGTTCATGCAAATTTTTCACTAGTTACTTTTCCCTCGTTCTGTCAACGCGTCATCTGTGTTGAATAAAAATAAAACAAATGTAAGTCAGTGATGTCGGTTCTACGAAATTTTCCGTAGATCTATAGAATTGATTGAATTCTGCAAAAATACGGATCCATAGGAAAGTTTCACAGAACCTCAGAATTCTTTTTAAAGGGATTTGTTTTGTTTGTTAAGTTTGCTTTTTTCTTTTGCTGGAAACAAGTTTTTAAACGAGTTAATGCTTCACTAATTAGTGCCCTTTCTACCACCGCTCATCACTTTAATGTGTACACAGCAAAAAAGTATAATATGTATCAATCAATGACATTCATGGTGAAGTATTGAACATCAAAAACTGGTAAAAGTTGATAGCATATTACAGTCATCAGATTGATTTGTTCTCAAATTATGTGTACATGGTACAGCGTAATATTAGGAACGGAATGTACAACAGTTTTGATGTAATATTCAACAACTTTTTTTTTCCAGTGAGATGCCTTGACCAGTTATTATTTTCAAGAGCTGACATCTACTAACTAGACGTGAAAAAGAACTGGCATCACTGATAAGTTCGAAATGTGATGTCTTGCTCAATGCTTCAGTGGCGCCACCATGACAAATGCAAGCACATTCCCAACTAAAACACTATTTGCGATTAATGTGATTGTGAGTGTTATGTCTGTTTGTCTGTGTCTATGGTATTACTTCTGCGTGAAATCCTCGGTGAAATCAACGATTTACATAGCTGAAGATGCTTATTTCAAATAACAGACTAAAGTGGTAATTTTTATACGATAGATGGAGGAGATGAAAGTATAGAGTTGATAGTTCCGTTAGAGTACAGCAGTGTGAAAATTGCATACAGATAGACAACTTTTAAGGAAGTTACAAATCGGATTTTTTCATCTCTCTTTACCATATTCCCCCTTTGGAGAGAGAAGGTGAAGGGTGCCACCAACCCCCCCCCCCACCCCCGCCACCACTGGCAAAAAGAGATGAACGCCGACCTCTCAAGTACCAACGATGTGTTTGAAACAGTTTTACCAATTTTTACCGCACTTCAGTTGTTATTTGAAGGAAGGCATCCAGTCGTAGGTTTGGAAATTGCAGCTATTGTTTACCCCTACCACGGTATGTGCTCCTGTCATCGTCGACTTGACGATCTCGAGGGTACATGGGTGGGGTAGGTGCTGCTACTGTACCTTTCGATCAATAAAGGCCCAAGCGCAATGACAGCGGAAGCGGAACGGCAGCGGCAGCGGAATAGCCCGATCTGAGTAAGCCTATTTGTCGGATTGAAAACAAGTTAGAACCAAATCGACTTCGGTTAGGCAGCTTGATGTCATTTGTGACAACTGTCAAACTTTCCGTTTCCGTTCCGCTTCCGCCCACATTGCGTTTGGGCCTTAACAGTAATTGACGGTATGCTCCCATCCATCAACTATGTAAATCGTTGAATTCACGCAGAAGTAATACATGGTAATACTAAACCTTAATATGGACCAACAGGTCTGTGCCATAAAAAGGGAGAAGTAATACTAAACATAAAGTCAAAGCACATAACTCTGGAAATATCATGCAATTTCACAGAAATCAAAACGACATTACCATTTTCACCCACTTGCCATCTGTAAGTCAATCGTCACTTTGATTCTTCAACAAACGTGTACCAACACAAAAGATATCATAGATGGTGCGACTATACCGCGTAGTGTTGGTTGTACAACTGCAGTGTTTTGTAATGATCATAGATTACGTCACAAAATTTCATTTTAAAATACATAAGGAACACAGGGGCAAGTGGGACCACGGGGATTGTAGTAACTATAGATACTATAGATTCCATAGATAAGCGGAGGCACAAAAAGTTGTTTTGACAACCATGAAAAATAAATGATCTTACTGGCATCCGTGAAAAAAGTTCATGCCATCATCCATTCGTTCTGCAGTTTAGTTTTGTTTCGTGCGTAAAAGTTCAAAATGAAGTGCAAAGCAAATCTTTGCAACAGTGTATCGAGGAATGGTTTGCTTTATCTTTCCTTCTTCCGTTGTCCGCGAAATAAATCGGAATATGCACGGTAAGCGCAAAATACCCAATAATGACTACAAAGTAAGCATTTTCGAGGGAAACTGGGACTACCCATTAAATTAGTAAAACTTTACCCATTTATGAGTAATTACAACTACAAAAACAAGTAGTAAGTATTCATTTTTGAGTAAAAAATACTCATAAATGGGTAATATTTTTACTCATTCAATGGGTAGTCCCAGTCTCCCTCGAAAATGCTTACTTTGTAGTCATTATTGGGTATTTTGCGGTTACCGTGTGGAGTGTGGAAAGCGTTTTGTGCTCGTAATAGGGTAGAGAACTACTAGGGTCTAAGCGCCCATTTTGGGCCTATCAAGCAGGAAACATCAAATAAATCAATTTTTTTTAACTCTTTATTTGTTTCAAATTCCAAATAAATCACATTTCATTTTAACCTAGGTGCTCCAGTTACTACAGTAACTTACCAGCCTTAATTGTTATGATATATATCTAAGTATTTTACATTGTTCCTGTCTTGGCAATTCAGTATTTTAAACAGGTTTTTTGAACCTGCATGTCAGTATAATCAAATAAATCCATGTTTTCGGCGTTTACAGGTAGATTATGCGTTTGGTACGATACTTTAGTTAATAAGCTACCGAACGAAGTCAATGAGAACGCGTGATATGAACGTTTGCACCCAAAATTCCCAAAAACAAAAGAAGTGCTCCGACCGAATCAATTTTCATCTTCATCCGATAGGTCGAAGTGAACTCATTGGCGTTTCAATGGCGTTTCAATGCGTTAGGCCGAGTTAAGAATCCGTAGGCCGAGTTTGGCGTCAAGAAGCAGTGTTATACTTTTAACAATGGGTCGTATGAATAAAAAGAGTTTACTTTACTTTCCCGTGCTTTTCTTACGGGAAAAGTAAAGTAAACGCTTTTATTCATACGACCTAATATCTCAACAATTTGTTTCTCTTTATCAAATCTTACGGTATGTACGGAAAGGTAAATACATTTGGAAGCCATCAGTAACAATAACATTCCGTTTGGTGCTAAACTACGATAGATTAAGAAAGACTAAGTGCGGGTTGTGCTTAATAGGCCGGAAATGGGGTCGTTAACCCTATTACAATACTTCTCCCTCAAACAACACCATGATGACGTCATGCTCGTTTGGCTACACTAACTGACAGTTCGTTTGGCTACATTATACTTTTCCTCCGCTATGGAATCTATAGTATCTATAGTAGTAACGGCTTATTTTTAAATATGAATACAGTGTTTGTGCGATAAGACGAGCCTCGATTAGACCCAATGATGTCATCAGCGCTATGACATCATTGGTTCTAAGGAATTTTCCGTCTGAATGTTTTAGTGTGAGTGCGATAACACTACAGCATTCAGATTTCAAAATGACAATTTCCACTTACCCCGCGGTCCTACGTGCCCCGGTGTAATTAAAATACATACAAAATGGGTGTAATTAAATTTTATTTAAAAAAAAAAAACAGATTTAATAAAGCACTCTAGTAAAAGTATGGACGACTGTCATCACAAAACTGAAAAAAATTGTTCCAATCGAACAAAGCAGTGAATATTAACGATTAGATTGGAACACCTTTTGAAAGACGTCCATACTTTTACTTAGGAAAGTCCATTAATTATGTCACGCAAATTTTGACCATTTTAAACCCCACCACCTACCCCCTCCCCCCTTTGACACATTTTTTGTATGGACCTTTACTTTTTTATGACTCGTCACAGTTTCCAAAACCCCCCTCCTCCTAAAAGTGTGACATAATTAATGGACGGTCCCTTCGCGGACTTTAGATTACAATAAATGGTTCTTAAGATGATTCCTTGTAGAGTCCACAAATGGCCGACACGTATACATGCACTTCCGCTCCGAATTTTCAATTACACAAATCTCGGAAATTTGTGCCTCATTTCACCAGAAATTACTACTGCATGTATGCTGCAGTGCAGCAAACGTGGAATTATGGCCCAAACGCTATGAGAGGGCGGAAGCGGAACAGAAACGGCAAGTTTGGCAGTTGCCACAAATCACATCAAGATGCCTAACCGAAGTCAATTTGCTTCTAATTAGTTTTCAATCCGACAAGCAGACTTACTCAGTTCGGGCTTTTTGGCTGCCGATGCCATTCCGCTTCCGCTGTTATTGCGCTTGGGCCATAACAGTTGCATTGTGGTACGTGTAGTGGAAGCTGAAATTTGTGCACTTAAAATTTCGAAGTGGTAACGAGAATAAGGATCTCACAGCGAAACACCTTAATGTACCGTGAAATTAAATCACTCGAGGTCTATATGCCTCATAAATATTTAGGTGTGCTGGACTATTTACTAATTACATCTTTATTGCAGCTGGTTCGAAATTTGACATCACCTGAATATGGAGAACTAATTAGACAAACAATTGACGATTCTAGTACAAAACATAACCCTCAGGACTACGGTGGACAATTCTTCATGAAAGATAGCCACGGGACTGCTCATATATCGTTACTAGGTTTGTATTTGCTAGAAGGAATTGTCTTTTCTAAAATGTTTAGATTTTCTGTGAGATCATGCGGGATTTGCTGGGCTGTGAAAATAATTAAATACATTATTGCGAGTTTTTTTTTTTAATAAATTAGATTATGGCAATTGTCATAAGGAAGCGGCCAGAGTAGATGCGACAAGCTACGCGATGCGATGCGACTCACGCAAGAAAGAATAATAAATAATAAGATACTTTTGAATTGGACGCGTCGCGTCGCGTGTCAGGTCTTCTCAGTTTGACAGCTTGACAAACTGATAAAATTTCAAAGATTGTTTTTATGTGTCCCACACATGAATTTTTGCAATGTGAGCAACAAATGATATATATGTGTCGGACACATACGTAATATGTGTACGCATAAAAGCCATGTGTAACCACACATACTATTCATTTGGCTCATAAATTTCAGGTGTGCTTCTGGGTGGATTCTGTTTATGTGTGGTCACATGAAAATCATGTGGAATTTAACATGGAAATTCGTTAATAAAAATGTGTGGAATTCTATTGGTGTAGCATCACAGTTGCAAGTATTTTTGCATTCGTACACCACCGTTCAAACCACAGGAGGAGGAAGAGGTAAAAAAAAAACTACAAATAAATAAAATTATATAGTCAAGGACACTGGCTCGGACACTGGTTATCACAAACGAAGTGACAGACGACTAACTGGCGAAGAAATCCATTAAAATAATGTGGTTAACTGTAATAGAATTTTCTGGGAAGCTTGTGCCATCATCCACCAGATGGGTTAGTTTTTTTGTTTTCATTTGAACAAAGTTGATTTTGTGTACAATGATTCTTTGACAGTGTGCAAAGAGTGTATCATATTGTCATTTTTTTTATGCATTTCAGTTTTGAGTAGAGTGAAAGAGATAGAACCAAAACATTCTAATACATTTGGTGAAAATGCTAGTACAATCCAGTAGTAGTGTTCCCATGTGGTACAATCTAGTAGTAGTGGTGTTGCCATGTGGTACACTGAAAAATTGAAATAGCAGGTTAGTCACCAAAGTTTTCGAGCCGCTCCGTCGGTCACTTCGTTTGTGCTGGTTATATTTAATAAGTGATACTTGGAAAGGAGTCTGGCGAGTTTATCTTTATTATTCGTATATTTGTATCAACGATCTTTTACAGAAGCTGGAAGCTCATATAGTGAATACAAATTCAATTTACTGAATTTAATAGTTTAATCAGCAAAATGCAGTCAATTTTTTAATTTGCTGAAAGATCAGTAAAGAAATATTGCTGATTTTCAGTAAAAGGTTGTCATTTTGACAGAAGTAGGAATTGCTTAAAAATTCAGCAGCATTATTTTGCTGAAACGTTTGCTGATCTTTCATCAAGTCTAAAATCAGCAAAATTTAGCTGATTTTCAGCTCTTTAAATTTGGTGTGTATGTTTGTTTTGATTTGCTATGAAAGTTTTACAGATAAATGAGGTGTTAGTTGTTTTTCCTATGTTTCGAGGGGTGCATCGATTAGCTTGGGACCAAAGACAGTACCAGAGCTGAGCCAAAAAGTTGACCACATTTCTTCGGAACCTTCTGGTCTTAGAGTTACCTCTATGCTTATACCATAGAGGTAATTCTAAGACCAGAAGGACCCGAAGAAACGTGCTCAACTTTTTGGCTCAGCTCTGGTACTCTCTTTGGTCCCAAGCTAATCGATGCACCCCTCGAAACATAGGAAAATCCACGAACCCCCTATTTTATCTGTTACACTTTCATAGCGAATCAAAACAAACATAGTGTAGTACTGGAATTTATACTAGAATGGGGTAAGTTAGTTGATTTGCTTGGGATAAATAGGCTAGTCAAGTAGTGAGCGATTATTCGATTATTCGAATGAAAATCGGCCATCACTAGATGAATGTGAAACGTCATTTCAAATATAAGGACCGTACATAAATAATGATACAATTTGAAACGGACCGGGACTAATCACAAATTATGTCCCCACGGTAACTGAAATAAACACGAGTGTTCACCGGTTGACTATCACACTAAGATTTTGTTTCCGTGTTCGGTAAATTTTACCAAAATCAGAACAGCTGAACGTTCGGTAAAACTTTGACGTTCATTTTAAAAGCTATTGAATTTGAAAATAATATCAAAATATGTTCAACCCTGTTTAAATGATCAAATCTTGTCATGTTAGTGGAGATTTAATTTCAAAGTAGCTGAAATGCAATTGAATTGAATTGCATAAATTTTAACGAAAAGTTCAACTGTTCAGATTTCGGTAAAAATTACCGAAGTCGGCGATAATTGAGTGTGTAGTGCTGTTGTTCCCACTTCGGTGCCAAGATTGAAAATAGTGGGCATGAGTGATCAGTATTCCTCCGATGTTTTCATTGACTACTATAAAGTCAAAATGAAGACATCGCCACAGACAAACAGACATAGCACATTGAATATTTCTCACTGTAAAACATCATTACCGCCATCTGTTGAGCACACTGTGGTGGGCAGTACGGGGTAATAGATGGCGGTAGTGTGTAAACGTCAAACGCAAGGGAATTGACTATGCGCGCCACAGGTGGCGATACTACCAACTACGATACTTTTAAATTGACCGTTAAATGCTTGTTCGATGAACAACTTGCGAGTGTTATGTCGATGTGATATAAATGATGTAAAAGAAGTGAACATGTTTGAAAATCCACGCTTCACTTATAATAATGGTTCCCGCGATTAATGTGTTGAGATGCTTCAAATGTAGAGAATTTGGGCACAAAAGCATGGATTGCAAAAATTGTGATAGATGCTCTAGGTGCAGCCAACAACACAAAACGTCGGAGTGTACGTCAACTGTATTGAAATGAATAAATTGTTTGAAAATGAATGAAGAACGTAAACTGAACTTGGACGTCAACCATGCCGCATTTAGCTCTGAATGTTTGCTCTATAAAAGACTTTTTGATCAGATGAAAAGCAGCTTACGTTTCAATAAATAGCAGCCAAGTTCCAGGAATGTGAATCAATTTGATTTTTTGTATTTGTATATTGCAGGGTTGTCAACAAACTACGTAGCATTACGTCAGATTGTTGAGGAAAAACGTCCTCTTTTAGTTTTATTATCTGAAACTCATATTGTAGAAATTGAAGCTTTTTTTTTTTTTTTTTTTTTTTTGTAATTACTTTATTTGTACAGGCTCAATCGAATAAACTTTACAGAGCCGAGTTATCCTTTGCGTTATACATTGTTACTGTCTTATATTTAAAGATAAAGGAACTGGACCGAGTACTCGCGGCCGTCTCGAGGTTAGTGGAGATTTACAATTTTTTGGATGGGAAAAGGGAAGAAGGAGGTTTTAAATGTGGTTTACGATATAACTATTTAATTAATCCTAAAGCATGAAATTATTTCTATTCATCTTGAAAACAAACATTGAAAAAAAAACCCCCAGACGTACAAAACACAAACTAAACACAAGGTTAATCAAACTTACAATCTAAGGTTAATATCCTTAAAGTAAACATATATGAGTTTCATAAACTCCAAATCGCGTCTAGCCAAAATATCCCAAACTGGAACATTAGGTTGTCTACCTCGAGCCCGAAGGGAATCATAAAAATGTGATCTGACTCCACGATACTCCACACAAGACCAAAGGATGTGATCAGCGTCCTGGTAACCTTGTCCACATTCACAGAGATTGCTGTCTCCCAACCCCACACGGAACAAGTGAGCGTTTAGACAATAGTGATTGGACATGAGACGAGACATCACGCGTATACAGTCTCGACTCAAGTCCAACCCTTTGAACCATGCAAACTTCGACACCTTAGGGATAATTGAATGTAGCCATCGTCCCAAGCTACCCTCACTCCATTGATGTTGCCAGCTAACGAGCGACTGCTGACGATAAATAGAGAAAAATTCACTATAGGCGATCTGTCGATCATAAATGTCGCCTTCCATAGCGCCCACCTTCGCAAGTGAATCCGCCTTCTCATTGCCCAAAATTGAGCAATGCAAAGGGACCCACGCGAAGGTGATGATGAAAGAGCGCACGGATAAATCACTAAGCAGTTCTCGTATTTTCAAGAGAAAATACGAGAAGTGCTTTACCGGCCTAATGGAACGGATAGCCTCGACAGAACTGAGACTATCTGTTGCGGGAGTAAAACAAACACTGTTCCGATAGTTGCGGTGACTGAGCAACTTCAAAGCTGCAAATTTATTTCATATTAGGTTAATAAAGTTGTTTTAAGGTTTTACTTTTGAACTTACATTTTCAGTGTTCGCTCATCCGAAAATAAGGTTATGTTTTTCTCTGCCGCACTTCTCTCATCTAGAACCTGTCGTAAAAGCTTATTACATATCGAGTTACACCAGTTCATATGGTAATTCTTACCGTAGGTACTAATGCTAAGTTATTTTGAACTAATTGAATATAAACGGAATGATTTTACTGGGTATTTAGAGCAAAGTTATCAATTCACTTTTTTTCCTTGTATCGCGCACCAGGTGCCAGGAGTGGACGGTAGCTTCACGTCTGCGTACGCACAGTGGGCACGGCAACATCCCCCCACCCGTGAGCTTCCCCAGTCCCGGAACGGCCATCCTCTTCAGCGGAGATTTGATCCTTTCTCACGTCCAAGAGTGCCAACTTCACGGCTGGCCTTGAAATGATTCCTCTCGCTGTTTGAACAGTGGCCCGTCTGACCTGGTTGTCAGCTCCCTTGGTAGTTTCAAGAATTCGTCCCCTCGTCCAGCTATTTCGTACGTTTTCGTCGATTACTATGACTAAGTCGCCAGGTTCCAACGGTTTCACCTTCTCAAACCATTTTGTACGCCTTGTCAGCATAGGAAGGTACTCGCGTACCCACCTTCGCCAGAATCCATCCACAATGTGTTGTGTTAGTTTCCAGCTATCACGAAGTACACCACCATCGCCTACCAGTGCCGTTTCCGGTTGTTTCACTCCGCTTGATCCGTACAGCAAAAAATGGTTCGGAGTCAGTGCTTCGTCATCGGCTTGCTCCAGGGGCAAATATGGTAGTGGCCGTGAGTTCACTACACCTTCCGCCTCCAACAATATTGTCTCCAAAACTTCGTCGCTAGGGTAACGTGGACTATCGGATATTGTTTTCATGGCCGTTTTCACCGATCTCACTAAACGCTCCCATGGTCCACCCATATGCGGAGCTGCTGGGACGTTGAAATGCCATGTGGTGTACGCGTTGGTAAATGTAGAAGCACATTCCTGGCTTATGTCCCGGATCTTCTGTTGCTCTTCGGACAGCTGGCGATTGGCTCCCACAAAGTTGGTGCCGTTATCCGAATACACTTCAAGGGGAGCGCCGCGTCGTGCCACGAATCGCCGAAAGGCCATGATACAGGATTTTGACGACAGGCTATGCGGTACTTCAAGGTGGACAGCTCTCACAGTTAAACAGGTAAACAGGGCTATCCATCTCTTCACCAAACTTCGACCTACCTTTACCTCCAATGGCCCAAAATAGTCCACACCAACGTATGTGAATGCTCGTACAAATGGTGTGAGCCGAACACTGGGCAGTGGAGCCATCATCGGGGGCTTGGGAACTGCGTGGTTGACCTTACATAGCTGGCATCCCCGCGCAACTTTTCGAATCAAGGTACGAAGTCCGGAAATGTAATACTGTTGTCTCATTTCGTTGTGAACTGTCTCATGATTCGCGTGCAAGAAGCGTCGATGGAAGTTGTCGATAAGCAGCGTCGTAACGTGATGTTTCTTGGGTAGAATCACCGGGTACTTGGTGGAGTAAGACGCTTCTGGAGCCGCTGCAATCCTGTTTCCCATCCGAATTATACCATGGTCGTCCAAGAAGGGAGTTAGTTGGTAGAGAGTACTGGATTTGGCGATCGTTCCTTGCTTTACCAGCGATGCTAGCTCATCCGGGTACGCTTCGGCTTGTGCTTGGCGTAGTACTGTGTATTCGGCTTCCTGGATTTCATTACGTTGCAGGACAGAGCCTCGTCCTTCTGCTGGGATCCTTTTCTTCAGTACGGTAACTGCTCGATGTACGTAGGCCATAGCTCTGACCAGACGGTTCCAGTTGGAAAAACGGCATTCGTTTATCAGCTTCTCCATAACATTGTGTTGGTGCAAAAATACGGGACGAAGTTCTTCACTGGTGGTGGTTGGATTCTCCACTTCCACAGGCCATTCGATACCTTCTTTCGTGAGAAACTCAGGGCCCTTAAACCAGCGGCTATCGGGAGCAAAGGTGGGGCCGGAGACCCACTTAGTGGCTTCGTCAGCAACATTCAGGGAGAGTATCTCCCCCACACGGAATCCCACGAATTGGTGATAGCAACGGCTGTCCGAGCGTAACCATGCCAGCACAGTGGTCGAGTCCGACCATAGGAAACTTTTATTGATCGGAAGTGTTAGCGAAGAACAAACTGTTTGCATTAGTCGTGCCCCAATCATGGCTGCCTGTAACTCCAGCCGTGGAATCGAGAGTGGTTTCAGGGGTGCCACCTTTGTCTTCGAAGCCACCAAAGCGCATCTAGTTCCTTCTGCGCAACGCAGTCGGAGGTATGCCACGCAAGCATAGGCTGATTCGATTGCATCTACAAACACATGTACTTGGAGCTCTCGTAGGGATTCAGACGAAAGATTTCCGAAGTAACATCGAGGCACCTGAACTTCTCCAATGAGTGCCAATAGCTCCGACCAACGGTACCACATATCAAGCAAGTTCTCAGCAATCGGTTCGTCCCAATTGGTTCCGGATCTCCAAATCTCCTGCATCAATATTTTCTCATGGATGGTGTAGTGGGAAATGAATCCAAGTGGATCGAACAACTTCATTACCATTTGGAGCACCTGTCGCTTGGTGGGTATCACGGTTCCGTTGAATAGTTGTTGGATTTGTAGACCAGATGCGTCGAAAGTGAATACGTCCTTGATTGGGTCCCAAATCAATCCAAGTACTCGTTCAGAAGTGACTTGCTTGTCGGAATTGATCGGTTTGTCTGATGTCGATGCTTCAGGCTCTCCTAGAGCAGCTAGAACTTCGGGTACATTTGATCGGAATTTGTGGATTTCAAACCCTGCTGCTGCGTGAATAGTCTTCACCTCCTTCACGAGCTGCACCGCTTCGTCGACGGTATCCATACTGTCCAGGAAATCATCTACATAATGGTTTTTAGTGATGGCCTCGACAGCTCTGGGATAGATGGTAGCGTACTCTTCTGCGTTTTTGTTTTTTATGAATTGCGCTGAGCAGGGCGAGCACGTGGCACCAAACGTGGCGACATCCATAATGTAGATTTCGATGTTTCCATCCGGGCTGCTTCTCCAGAGAAATCGTTGGAACTTCGTATCGTTTACTCGAATCCAGATTTGGTGAAACATCTCACATATGTCACCACATACTGCAACATTTCGTTCTCTGAATCGGAGAATGACCGCCACTAAAGATGTAAGAAGATCCGGTACTTTTAGAAGTAGGTCGTTGAAACTAACACCTTCCACCTTCGCGGCAGCGTCCCAGATCAGACGGATTTTCCCAGGCTTTCTTGGATTCACGACTACTCCTAATGGAAGGTACCATACACGTTGATGATCCGTCTGCTCGAGCTCTTCCTTTGTTGCCTTGTGAGCGTATCCCTTCTTCACGTAGCTTTCGATCTGCTCGTTCACTTTTGCAGCTAGTTCCGGATTTCGTGCCAGGCGCTTCTCCAGACTCTTCAATCGTCCTTTTGCCATGGGCAGGCTGTCAGGAAGCACGGGATCATCAACCCTCCACAGCAGCCCTGTTTCATAGTGTTTCCCTTTGCGGACTGTAGTTTGTTCCAAGATTTGGAGTGCGCGTTTATCTCCCTCGCCCTCAAGCTTCTTGGTAACGGCACTTTCTTCGACAGCAAAGTAGCTTCGCATCATGTCGTGGAGCGATTGATTGCTTACAGGTTGAACATAGTGAAAATTCAGGTTCGCTGATGTAGGGACGCTATCAGATTCCTTCCCAAGCGCACACCAACCCAGCCGCGTCTTGACAGCAATGAGCCCACCGTTTCTTCTTTCTCGTGTCTTCAAAGCAGTGAGCAGTCTTACATGTTCCAATCCTATGATCATACGCGGTACGATGTTCGAATAGCTTTGTAGAGGTAATCCCCTCAGATGAGGATGCTGATCGGCTAGCCCTTCGTAGTTGAAAGTCTGCTTGGGTAGATTCAGCTCATCGACGGTTTGAACATTCTCCATGGGGTACTTTTTGTGCGAGCTCTCACCGGCGATGGTCAAACTGACGCGCTTCGATCCCTTCTCTTCTCTGGAAATTTTCCCAGTCCACGACAGCCATAACGAAGAAGAAGGCCCATCAATTCCTAGCTGCTCGGCGACCTCAGCCTCCAGAAGAGTTAAGCTTGATCCTTCGTCGAGAAATGCAAAGATGTTCACAACTTTACCATTCCCAAACAGCTTCACAGGGAGATACCTGAAGAGAGAGTACGATTTACCGCAGTGATGGTTCTGGTGAGCATGCAATCCGTCGTTAGAAGATGAAACTTCCGACAAAACTTGATCCGTTTGCTGGGCGTACTGAGCGTGCAGAAGCTGATGGTGACGTGACCGGCAACCTTCGAGTCCACATTCCTTCTTCGACCGACACGGCCATTTTCGATGAGGCACCAAACAGGTCCGACAAAGGTTCTTCTGCCGAATGGCCTTCCAGCGAGCGTCGATGTCAAGTGCTTTAAAGGATTGGCAGCTCGCTATTTGGTGGTTTGCATCTTCACAGTAGGTACATCCTTTGAGTGGTCGATCCTGGGCAACTTCCGGGTTCCGTTCCTGCTCATTTGATGATTCTTGAGTGTGAATGAAGAGTTTTTCCTTGTGCTTGTCGGATCGACTCTCCTTCGTGTTAATTTGCAGAGATTCTGTATTGAGCATGAGATCAGAAGCCAGGCCCACTAGATTTGACATAAAGTGGTTGAATGTCGCCAAGTTGACATCTGTTTGTGATTGTTTATAACTACCCCACTGCAGTTTCATGTGGGTGGGTAGCTTCTCCACGAGCTCGTTCAGAAGCATTGGATTCGTGAGATGGTTTTGCTGTTCCGCAATGATCATGTGATCGATCAAATTTTGAACCGCCAGTCCGTAGTCAACTATTGACCTGAGGTTATCTGCCTTCGGGGCAGGGGCAGCTCGTACACGCTTGAGGAGTGAATTTATTAGAAGTTCCGGTCTTCCATAAAGCATGCGAAGGGTTTCCATGACACTGGGAACCGAGGAAGGCAGCAGCAAGCGGCTTCTTACTGCTTCTAGAGCGTTTCCTCGCAAACATCGTTGGAGTCTGGCCAGATTTTCGGCGTCGCAGTAACCACAAACCTCTGTGGAGTTTTTAAAACTGCTATAGAAAATAGGCCATTCTTCTGGAACGCCCGAGAAGATAGGCAAGTCTCTCGACATGACCTGACGAGCGGCTATCTGAGAAGCATT